GCTGCTGCCCTCTGCCGTCCCCTCTTGCTCCCCTCCCTTGGAGTTCGCTATGCCGCTGGCGTTTCCCCCGTCCCCCACCTCTTCCGTCGCTCCTTTGAGCTCTGCTCTTGCTCCTGCGTGCACCTCCCCTGCTTCTCCCCTCTCGTGGCACCATCAGCTTTGGTATTCTGCCACCGCGACGAGTGCGGCATCGGCCTCTGGCGCCGCTGCGCCTTCCTCTTAGGGTGGAGCTGACCCCCCCTGTACGCTGTCCTCCTCCTCCTCCTCCTCCTCCTCCTCCTCCTGTTGGCCCGCCGTGCGTGCCACCTGCGGGCCGCCTGTCTGGGATCACTGGCAGGCGGCACCGGTGGTAGCACGGGGCGATTTCCGCAGTGGGAGAGCTCAGAAGGCGACGACACCGAAGACATAATCAACTTCTCAGAAGGCGCGAGGGCTTCTGAGAAGTCCCGCCGCCTTCTGAGAAGGCCTTATCGTTCTCATTCCCCCCTCGCTCGCCGCCAATCACTGGCAGGCGGCACCAGGGGCGATGGGCGTGAGAGTTCAGAAGGCGAAGACCCGCCCCCACCCCCAGTCCCGGCTCCCATGACCCCGAGCCAGCGACTCGTGTGGTCGGCGCTGAGGGTGCGGGCGTATTTTCCAATTTCCTTGACCCCGAAGAGCCACCCCCGCCCCCAGGCCCGACTCCCTGGATCGCGGGTTCGGGGATGGGGTCGGGACTGGGGGTGGGGGTGGGTTTTCGCTCTCCCGAGCGTGTGATCGCCGATAAGGGGTTTGATGGCCGCCCTGCCGCCTAGGAGCGCGCGGATGTGTGCCATCGGGGGCCTATCGCCGATCCATCGGCGATGCATCGCCGATTCTGGGTCGATGTGTCCCCCCCCTAGGCCAGCCCCCCCCCTATCCCAGACCCCCGACGTCATGTTTTTTTCATTACGTCGCCCCCTGGGGCCTGGGGCCCCGACCCGCTCTCTGGGACCGGTTTCTCGTCCCGAGTCGTTTCCTGACGGTCCCGAGGGCCGAGAAGGGTCCGGAGGCCGGAATTCAGTGACAATGTCCCGTCATATTCTTTTTTTGGTTGATTGCCCGAGGGCCCAGAGGGTTCCCGGAATTCGCAACACTGTCCCGCCATGCTTTTTTGTTGTCGAGGGCCCGAGGGGGCAATCAACAAAAAAAAGCCAGCTAACGCGCTTGGCGTCGTAGCTTGCACGCTCGCCAATTGTCTTGCCCACGCGCGCTTTGCGTATGGCTGCTTCGTTCGTTCGCCCGAGGGGGTCGGGGGCGCGGGCCCCCCGTGGCGGCACCCGTTCCGGGCGCCCCCTCAAGGGGTGCCGGCCCCGCCCACCCCCCGGCAGGGCACGGGCCTCCCGAGGGGCCCTGCGGGGGGGGACGGCCGGGCTCTGGTCGCGGCGGGGTGGGCGGGCCGCCCGCGGAGCCTCCTCCCGTGCGCTGCACCACGGGAGGGGGGAAGAGACAGGCAGGCACAGCTCGTCGGCGATTGCGCGGAGCATTCGGGGAAGCGATGGGCCGTGGGGGGAAGAGACAGAACGCCCAGAGCAGGAGCTGTCGGGGACGACGTCGGGGACGATATCGGGAGCTGGGAGGGGGAGGAGACTGGCAGGCACAGCTCGTCGGCGATTGCGCGGAGCATTCGGGGAGGCGATGGGCCGTGGGGGGAAGAGGCAGAATCTAGGCTAGGCCTCCTACGTGGGGTCCGAGCAGATGGGGTCGGAGGATCGTGCCGCATCGCCGATGCATCGGCGATGCGGCTCGACGTGGAAGCCGATGTTCTCCACGTCGACGTCGCCGGTGCATCGCCGACACATCAGCGATGCATCGGCGATGCGGCGCGATCCTCCGACCCCATCTATTCCGACCCCATCTGGGAGACCTTTACAGAAAACCCAAAGCACGTCGGCAGGGCACCCCGCTGCCCTGGCCTCCAGAGGCCCCGTGGGGGGATGCTGGGCTTCTCGCAGCGGGGAGCGCCCGCCCCACGGATACACCCGTGCGCTTCGCCTGGGAGGGGAGAAGACACGCAGACACGGTTCCTCGTCGATTCCGCAGGAGATGCATGAAACATGTGGGCCGTGGGGGGGGAGACGAAAGCATGGAAAGACCGGAAAGGATCTGGGCCATCCTGGGACCTGCGCGTGCCCGTTGGTGTGCCCCTCCTGGGCTCCTCAGCTCACGCGGCCCCCCCCACGCGGCCCCACCTCCTGCCCTTCCCACCTCCTCCCCCCCTTGCCCTCCTCCTCCCTGCCCTCCCCCGCCCTCCTCCTCCTCCTCCCTGCCCTTCCTCTGCCCCCGGCGCCCCCCCTCGGCGCCCTTCCTCCGCCGGCGCTCCTCGGCTGCGCCGTGGCCGCCGCCGCGGGGGGGGGTCGTGGGGGCCGGAAGGATGAGGAAGGAGGAGAGGAGGATGAGGAGTAGGAGGAGCGGAGGAGGAGGAGGAGGAGGAGGAGGAGGAGGAGGAGGGGTTGCCTGGGCGGGGGAGGCCCGGTGGGGGGGGGGGCGCCCTGTTGCCGCCCGCCGTGTGCCGTGTGGCGCTCCTGCGGGCCGCTCCGCGCTCGCCCTTCTCCCGCCGCAGCGGGCGCCCTGCCGCTGGGGTCCGCGGGGCCCGCGGGGTCTGAGGCCCGAAAACCATCACTTCACTAATTTTGGGCCCCAGGGCCCACTGAGGCCCCAGGGGCCCCAGATAAGTGAAGTGATGTTTTTTTTTTCCAACGTGAGGGCCCCGAAATGCATCACTTCACAAAACCGAGCCCAGGACGAAAGTCAGGGGCCGAATTGCTGCTGTGATGCAACATCGGTCTCGTAGCAGAGGGCACGTTGGATGTCGGGAACTGGGACACATCCATGACCAGTTGCGGGCGGTTTTTCAATCCCAGGACTCTTTTGAGGGCCGGAGACGACGTCGGGGTGGTGTGGTGTACACTTGTTTCCCCGGTTCCCCGTGGAAGCAACAAAAATGTATACACCAGGATGCCGTATACACCAGAATCCGTTTTCTTGTGCGAATCAGCCTGCCGGCGGCGAAGCGTGCTAGACCGACATGTGAGATACCGCGAAGATCATGTCAGGTGCAGCTGCCGGGCGAGTCCAGCCTTAGCAGGGAGTTTAACAAAGCACCGACCTGCCAGCAGATGCCCACGGAAGCTTCTTCTCCCTCCTCCCGTGGCCTCAGGGACCCACAGAAGCCCCTGAGGACCCCCAGGCCTTTCACAGATCGACGACAGACGTGCCCCCGCATCTCTGAGAGCAAGCTGTCTTATCATATCTGTTCCCTGTTCCCCACGCGCGTTGCCCACGTCGCCCTCCGTGAGAAGGCGGCGCCCGACAGGCGCGCCGCCCCGCCCGCGGCGCTTGCAGGGCGCAGCCTCGCCCGTGCCGCGCCGGGAGCCGCGGCGTCGGGCGCGGCAGCAGCGCCTCGCGGCGGAGCGGGGGCTCTGGCCGCAGCCACGGCCCCAGAAGTCTGAGGGAAGGAAGGGTAGTAGTAGTAGTAGTAGTAGTAGTAGTAGTAGTAGTAGTAGTAGTAGTAGTAGTAGTAGTAGTAGTAGTAGTAGTAGTAGTAGTAGTTTAGTAGTAGTAGTAGTAGTAGTAGTAGTAGTAGTAGTAGTAGTAGTAGTAGTAGTAGTAGTAGTAGTAGTATTAGTAGTAGTAGTATTAATAGTAGTAGTAGTAGTAGTAGTAGTAGTAGTAGTAGTAGTAGTAGTAGTAGTAGTAGTAGTAGTAGTAGTAGTAGTAGTATTAGTGATCATAGTAATGGTAGTAGTAGTTGTAGTAGTGGTAGTAGTAGTAGTAGTAGTAGTAGTAGTAGTAGTACTCGTAGTAGTCGTAGTAGTGGTAGTAGTAGTA